TGCTTTTCCTTTCAATATGCCAGCTAAAGGTTTATCTAGCATATCCACTGAAATCCCATTAAATGCTTGCCTCTTTCGGACTGAACGGTACAAAAGGAGCATAACGCAAACATCCAAATAATTATTGCTCATTCAATGCTTAATTTTATTACGATTACAAAATTGAATTATTGATTTGGCTCATTAAAATGACAGTTTAAAAACAAATATTCGATTTAGAAAGCTCAATGCTTACTGAGCTTAAAACTAATTAAGTTCAACTAGCTCCAATTAGCTAGTTTGTAAAATAGTAGTTAGCTATTAATTAGGCAATTCAACAAATAAATCGCATTTTGATTGCCGTTTTTATTAATATCTGACTTTTTTGATGAGACTTGTTTTTGCTCCGTACAATTTATACCGTTGTAGAGCGAATTATAACTTTGAAGAAAACTTCTCCGACTCCATAAAGTATATATATTCTTGATTAGCAACACAGCCGAGTCGATATAGCCACGTCCGGCCTTCCGTCCATCTGTACGTTTAATTCGATGCAAAGTTTTAAAGTTCTTTCGAATATATAGCTTTTATACGAATGATCGTTCGGGTTTTTAAATGTATAGTAAAATTTAGATCAATTTGACTCCGGTCTACAAGGGTATATAATCTTCGTTGTGCCCAAGTTAGCCATTCTTTCTTTTTATATTTATCCTTCCGCTGACCATTCGTATTCCTTTGAAAGTGGGTTTAATCAACCTTTTTTCCATTTTGTGCACAATTTGATGTGCGGTTGACATATAATAATTGGTGGTTATTAGAGGCGACATACCACACATTCATCACAAGGGTAATCCAACGTGTTTTATTTAATTAGTGATAATTGCTTAATCTCTAAATACAAAATTAATATATGGTAATTTTTTAATATAATTAAAATGTTATCCTCTGTGGACATTTGAATTTGTTTACTTATTAGGCTCACAAATTCCAAATCCAAATAAATCTTTTGATGCGTGTTTAGAGCAAATGGGCTACATAAGTAGATTGAACTCCATTCTACTGAAAAGAGTTGATTGTTTAACTTATTGCTTGATACACAATCATCATAAAATGTTTACATTATACATCCTAGCAATATCTACAAAATATCTATTTAAATTCTTTGAAATTGTGAATGTGTGCTTCTATTATCGATGTATGCATATATATTATTGCAAAGTCATTACATTACAAATGACCTCTATATTCCTTGTTTTTCAATGTTCATTTAAGAATTTCATGGTTACTTATTGAAGAATTTCATGGTTACTTATTGTACATTCATTTTACATAGTACCGACAATTCAATACAGCTTGAACTGATTCCAATTAGCAGACTCAACTGGCTTTGTGTGCAGATGCTTTTAAATCAGCTTTTACATCTATTTTGCAAAAGCAAATTAATACTAATAAATGGGAAGCAGATGTTGCTATTTAAAGCCAGCTACTCTCAGATTTTTCCCCTCTGCCGTTTGCCTGATTTTATAGGACTGTCATAAAAAGCTCAATTAGATTGAACGCAAAACTCATAAAAGCCACATGAGCAGAACCTCCGTCAACTCTTCCTCTCTCTTTCTCTGTCTCTCCCTCCCACTCCCACTCTCTCTCTCAGCGATTTCCTCCACATGTTGAGTAAGTCGTATTAATTGAAATAATTGAAATAAGCAACGCAGCATGCAGCATGTGGTTGAGGTGCATTCATGATTCAATGCCACACATAGGCTGTTTAGCGGCTACATGAATTGCACCTGCAATCATTCATTCAATAGAGTAGTTGTCAATGTGTTGTGCACATTGCTGTTGTTGCAGTTGATGTTGTTGATACCGGTTGATGTAATTAAAGCGGCTCGCCACACACATGCCACATGATGTGAAGCCTACTTGCATATTTTATGCATTGGGTTGTGTAATCTGATTAACTGTCAATCAACTCAATTTAACTGTTAACATTTCGTCGATAAAACTTCTTTTTTTTTTTTGTTCATTCTCATTGACATGAATTGTTAATGAATTAATATAATTTTAATACATTTTTATAGTAATATACATGCGAACTGAGCTTCAAATTAATTTCATTATTCAGTTCATTATTCAAAAATGCGCACAAAGTTAATGTTTCTTAAAGTTCCACAAATTGTTAGAGTATACTTGAAAATGAAAGGTCTTTGGAATATAGCTAAAATTGACAAAGCTGCGCAATCGAAATCAAATCATAAATATAAATCAAATATTAACAAGAAGATTACAGCTTTGTTTTTCTCATTATTGACTGGCAACGCACTTTTATGGATGCTGTCGAAATGTATTTGAGAACCAAATATTGAATAGCGAATGAATGAATGCTGAATAATGTTAAGCGTTTAGGACTATTTTGATTTATGGCTTCTTTGCCAATTGCCTTGCGGCAAAACTGTCTATGGATTGGCGCCCAAATAAAAGAGATATTGCCATCAGCAAAAGTACCATGATATTTAAGCACAGTCATTATGGGTCAAGCGTCCATGAAATTGAATTTCCACTTAATTGTTCAAACACAACAATCTTCATCAATCACTTCCTTGACCAACTTCCGTTCTTACAATCTCTGCGCACTGATTGAGTTAACAATTGGCATCCGATCTGAGCAATCATATCACACAATCCATAGCATCTATGACACCTATGCTATAGTGATCCAATTCCGACATATATACTTCATAAGAATAAGTATATTTAGTATACGAAGTCGGAGAGGTGTCCTTCAATGTGTTCCGCACTTCAGGACGGAATTTACTACCCTCTGCAGCCTTGGCAACACTTAAATTTCAGAGCTACCTACGCACCTAATAACACCAAATAATTAATTAATCGTTATTTCATTTCAAATCATTGACACACACAAATTGACAGAAATGAGACTTAAGCGCAATTAAATTAATATGCAATAAAATAATAAATAATTAAGGCTGTCACTTATGTGCTCAATTGACACTTGTCGTACTTCATGCCAAATGGCCGAGTGGGAAATCTGTTGTGGAACCCGAGCCGACAGTTATAAATAGTAAGATTTACATAATTTATGTATACAGCTAACATATATGTACCTATGTATGTTAGCTGGAAAACCCTATGACACAAGACTATAAAAAACCAACCGAAATGTCGTGCAAAAAGAGACAACTTAATGCCGCTTTCGGCCTCTAACCAAATGCTGTCACGCAAAGTGTTCTTCATTTGAATTACGCAAGCAAATCGTCATTTTGTTTATCGTAGTGTGTTTCATAGTGTGTTCAGAATGTTAATAAAATAGAAAATGTCAAAAATGTCAAAAGTCATTTGATTCAGATCGATTTGTTCAATTATAACTGCGCTGTATTGTTTTCATTGTTCAGGAAGTGAAGCGAAATTGTTGAGAAATTGATTTGCAGAGCGCTTTGACACTGACAGCCAATGAATGAACCCACAGAATTGAGTCATTTTCAATTATGTATGGTCGTTGTCATCGTTTGTCATCGGTGTCTGCCACTTTGTCTCACAGACTTGTGTCATTTCTCTTTATGAGCCTGGCTTAATAATATGTTAATTGACAGCTTAAGCCAACTGTCAGCGCCTTGTGCTCGTTGTCTTAGACACATGACATGGCAGCACATTATACAGACAGACATACATCTGTAGAATACACGTTAGCGATAGGGGGAAAAAGTTGGCATCGAGTGGGCTCGACTTGGAGATACTCTTTACTAAACAACTATTTTAATATAGGAAAAGATGACATCATTCGAGGGTCGATTAAAGTGTTGATTATTTCACTTAAAATATAAAATAATAATAATATTCTGAACAAGAAATTGCAAGAGAGTAATGCCAATCAGTTTTTCTTTTATTTTTTAATGAGTACCGAGTGTAAAGGGGTAGATCGCAATATTTAAATTCATGTGTCGTGTCACTGCTAATTGATACGAACCCCACGGCGTATGCGCAATGCAAATGACAACGGGCGACTGTCCTTGCAATTATATTAAAGTGTATGTAAATGTAGGAAAGATTGCCATAGACCATGCCCAACACTAACAGCTCTTTTGTGGCATGAATTGAAATCAAATTACATTTGGATACAAACATGTTCATGCACATGTGCATATATATATATATATATATATATATATATATATATTCTTTATTTAATTCAGTTATTCATTTATGAAAAGCAACAGACATATAAGTTAATTAATTAAAGATAATTAATGAATTAAATGCAATTTTTTTAAGAGACAAATTCAATTTGCAAACATTTGCGAACATTCTTGAATAACTGAAAAGTGTTATTAATACTGACATGATTATTAAGCATTGTTTACAAGTTGAATTACTGCGATTACATCCATTGCCAATGCTTTTATTGCGCTTGCCGCACACTCCAGATGTTCGCGATGATAATGGTGGGCGCGGTTACTATTATGGCGCCACACAGTATATAATTTAATTTTCCTATAATTCACCCTTAGCGCAGAGTAAGCGCAGCCATTTGCTAGAGTATTATTATGATTATTATTATTATTATTATTGCCAATTGCCACGTTATTCAGATGTCGACTGTCGATGTGGCCACGTAAATTTTTCGCTGTGTTTTGTTATTGCAAAAATGTACATTTACAATAATAAAAAAAAAAACAAGACAACAATAAATTTATGCATCAATTTAACCGCAAATGGAAAATTCAAATTAAAAACGGAGAATGTCAAGCATTTTGATTGTTAATATGTAATTTAATAAATGCTCAACAATCGTATGTATGCCCATTTTAATTTAATAATGCGCACAGTAACATAAAATTCATAAAATATGCATATAACTCGAGATGTTTACACCCTGATTTTACTGTATCTCTGTCTGCTACTATGTATCTGTATGTGTATCTGTATCTGTGTCTGTATATGTAACTGTAACTGTATCTGCACAATCAAAAATGTAAAAACAAATTGCGCTTCAATATCTATTGCAGGCGCATTATTTACGGCCAGCGCTCTCCTCGACTGGCGTTATTTGAATTGTGGAACCACTAAAATGCAAATAAGACCGCTCTTCTAAAACGGGGCGTGGCAATGCGGGCGTGCTAAAAATGTAAAATCAACAATGTGTACACACAAGGCCTGATCAAAAATTTGAATGGAAAACAAAGCCGACTAGCAACAAGCCCAGCAACGTGAACAACAACGAGAGAGAGAGAGCTTCAAGATAATTAATATCTACTTGCGAGGGCATATTAAAATGGGCCTGGCAGTGTTCCTGAGCCTGGGTCTGGGCCCGGGATGTCCTCGCCTCACCGTGGCACTGGCTCTGGCAGTGCTAATTAGCTTCTGGCCAACTGGCAGTCTTGGAGCAGCGGCTGTTGACTGTACCGATTGGTTGAGTCCCAGTGAATGCAGCAACAATAATAACACGGTCACTGGCAAAGGCAACAGCAACAATCACAACAAAATTGGCAACAATGACAGCAACTATATGGCTGGCAGCTCGTCGTTGGACCATCTAAATAGTTCGATGCGGCCAGACAATCTGCTGGAAATGGATCTGGAACGGGACGGAGATAATTGGCCATTGGAGCGAGTCGTCTCCATTATTGTGCCCGTATTCTTTGGCATCATTGGCTTCGCCGGACTCGTTGGCAATGCGCTCGTCATATTGGGTAAGTCCGTTTGTTTTGTAACTCAACCGCATTCGCCCCATCGTAATTGCACTTGCTCAAGCTACCCACTCCGCCGACTGTGAATCTACCTCTTTTTATGGTTAAGGGTCTATAAAAGAGCGGTCCATAAACCCTGTTCGATAGCCAGTTGGCCAATGACTTTTGCCAAATTATGCGTAATAATTGCAAATACAGCCAGCCGGCCGTAATACATCCATAAACATGGCACCCACAGTGCACATAAAAAGCCAACATCCAACTGGACTAATTGATATTTTATATGCCTCAAAATGCGGATACCTATATGCAACATTGCAACTTTACGTGCAGTTCGTCGCACATTGAGCTCGTTCAGTTTACCAATTTTGTTGCACTTCCGCTTGAGTGCCAGATTTTGAGTCATTTGATAAGCGAATGGGCAATAACTTCAGATACAATAAAGTCTGCCTTCTTTAATCCCTTATCAAATATAAATGAAAAGGCTTTACTTGAGAGCAGATGGACTCCTGTCTGTAAGAGTAAGGTAAAGTAAAGCTGTTGCACCATGGATGAAACAATAATATCATTGTCCAATCACAATCAAAATTTAAAAATAGTTCGATTGAAACAACATAACAATATTTAATGCGTTTCATATTGAACTTGTTGTTATCTTGTATTAAAGAGTGGATAAGAATTTGTATTATTAGTGGACGTCTCTCAATTCCATGCCACTCTATATTCAAAGTTGGTAGCGTAATCAAAAACCAAAATACAATTATCCAACGCAAAATTCAGTTAGACGTCCCCTGAGTTGAAAGTCCACAAAAAAATATGATGACAGAATCTGCCAATTTTTATAACGACCAGTCCAAAGTTATAAGTTCATTTGCGGTTTTTACAGAACACACTGAGAAAAATCAATTGTATAGAACGCAAAAATTCTACATAAAATGCCGGCGGTAGCTCAGTTCGATAGGAAAGTGCTTAAGAAAATACATCAAAACCATGTTAAGAGAAATGGAATTTATATATATCAAATAGAATTATATGAATGATTAAAATACTATACTTTTTAGAGGTAATATAAAAGTTGTTGTATATCAAGCAATGCAGAATTGTATATTTTTCAATTAAAAACCAATTTGTAACAGTTTCATTGATGAAAAGAAAATTGTACAGAAATTATTCAATGCTATTGAAGTCCCCAATCGAATCCTTTCAAAATGTTATAAAAGGTCAAATAAACATGCTCATATTTTTCATGAAAGAAATGAGAACCTGACAACAGTCAAGCTGGTAAAGTGGCAAAATGGCAAACTGAAAACTCTAACCACTTTCATGTCCACGCTTGAGTGGCCAATTACAAATTTATAACATGATTTTCTATGTGGCACCTAAAAATTGGTTGCAACCACAGCCAGCCAGCCAGCCAGCCTCTCGCTTTTGGGCAGCTGCTGCTGGGCAACATCATTGGGGACACGTCCCTCGTCCTCGTGTCAAAAGGGATGCCGCCGGCATCATGTGACATAGGACAATGCAAATTGAAGTGGCAATGAGTCAATGCAGATTCTTCGCTATTTTGTTTGTTTGTTTCTTTGTCATCCTAAAACTAAAACATAATTTACAATGAAACAACAAATGAACAACTTGCTTCTTGCTCTTCCGAACTCTCTTTCTTGCTGTACTCATGTTTTCGTTTATACATTTTGGTTTTGGTTTTTTGGCCAAAATTGGTGTTGGCAGATGTCAGAATCTAGTGGCTTGTTGTTGTGTTGTCAGCTGTTCACTGTCATCCTAATCATGTTATTATCATCTAAGATGTGGCTTTCGACCACGAGATATTAACCAAAAAGCTGTTTCTTTTAAGTGCTTGCACAAATGGTTTTTGGGACAGCCTTTTTAGATGGACGTGAAAACAAACCCTTTACGTTTCGTAAAAGGGTATTTTATAGTCGAATGACAATGATGATTTTACACGATTTTATTTAACTTTTATTAAGTGCCTGTCACATTGCTTATGTTTCAGTAACACTCAGTTGGGCTCCGAGATTCTTGCCTAGTGAGACAAATGCTGTAATAAATTTAAATGAATTTTTATAAATCATATATTCGAAATTTATCTTAATTTACTTGTTTATTTGCTTCGTGATATTGCGATGAAAATCAATGTAAATAAGCACTAAATTACATCAACATGACTTATTAGTCAGACCACTTAGATTCGAAATGATAATCCATGATTTATGTCGAGTAGACACACTTCAGAAAGACATACACAAACACCTGCCTCACTTTCAATCAAAAACTATACTTGAACACCAACATAACAATATAATCGCTTAAAGGCCCCCCATTTGGGCTGTGAGTTTGCCATAAAATGCAGAGCAGAAGCATCTACTTTATGATTTGAGAGCCGAGTCAAGAGCAGACATTGAAGTTGATATTGTTGTTGCAGCTGTTTGCTTTACTAGCTTCGCTAAGCTTTGACAAATTATCTTTCCATAAGCCATAAATACGCTTGCACTTACAAGGAAGCCAGCTAAATCTCATTCATTCACACGCCCATCCAATAGCGATTACTCTGCTAATAGGACAAGAGAAGCTACATCCGCAGTAACAGTGGAACGACAATGGGAGAGGGAGCGCTGGCGAGGACAGGCTCTAATTTTGCTCATAATTTGCAATAAAACTCATACGTTCATTTACAAATCATTTATCAAAATGCCGCCCGGCCGCCCAGCCGCCCAGCCCTGACAAAGTGGCTCTCAACATGCAACAAAAAAGAAAAGCCAAAGATGGCAAGGGGAATATATGCTGCGAGTGCTTGTAGGGGTGCGGTGTGGGTGTAAGTGGTGCCTGGCAACAGAAAGACTCGCAAAGCAAATGAAAATTGCTTTTGACTTTGACGCCAACACTTACAAAACAAAAAACAAAAAATAAAAAAAAAAACGAAGAAAAGAAGAAGAGCTCGCGCTGGTGAATAATGCTCGACTAAATGATACTCAGCAGTCAGGTTGTTCGTACTAGCAATATATAGTTCAATTTGTTAATTGACTCAATGCTGGGTGTATCGGGGAATGTGCCGATCAACAAATAACTTACATTTTTAGCCTCTAGATATGTTAATAAGAAACACATTTTGAATATCGATATTTATCGATATTTCTTTTGTTACATGCTCTCAACTTTATGATACGAAGTTTTAAGCATTGTCGTGCAACACTGGGTATTAAAGTGAACAAAAAAATAAGCGAAATTCGAAACTAACTGGCATAAAAACCGGTTATCCTGGCATTTTCCACCGCCCACCCAATGTGGCAACTTCAAGCGACAATTTCACGCGGCTCCCGTCGCGCATTGCGTTTTCTGTGATGTTACTGAAGGCAACGAGTTTTTCAAACTTGGTTGATTTTCTTAACTGTGCAATTAAAAGCATTTGGCGGCTCTTTAAATAAATTACGAACATGCAACAATACAACACTAATCTTTTAGTGTCATACTACTGAAAAGAGTTGATTATGTAACTTTTTCGCTGAATATACAATCTCGCTTAAGATTGTATATCCTATTCCCTTCTTAATGTCTACTAAATAGAAATAGAATTTATTTGAAATGGTTCTTGCAATAAAATAAATAAATAAATCAAATATACATAACATATTATAATAGATTTGTTAATCAGCTTTCAATTATGGAGTAGTCGATGGCTGAGTTTTCACAACATCTGACGCTTTAGCATTAAAACATATTGTTGGATACTTGAGATAACAAGACCCTTCGGGGCTCAAATATTTATGCAAGTCCATCATGTTCCTTGGCGTTGACTCTGCTGTTAACTCAATTTTGAACGGCCGACCGAATCGAGGTCCTGGTACAATATGGACCTTTTGTAACTTCGACACATATGGCATGGGCATCATCATGCAATATTATCGGACACTGCTAATCAATGTGAAAAAAGACAATAGAAAGGAGTACGAGTTTTATGTTTTAAAAAGTGAATAAATACGTTTATACTTACAATGTAGGTGTGTATCCTGAAGGGTTTCTTCCGCAAATGGAATGCGGTATCCAAATGGAAACTTTAATTTTTTCAGCTGCTGCTTGTGACTGGATGGTATTTCTTTTTGCATTTCTAAATTTCGCTGTTGCATGTTGCACCTGCATGCAAGCTTACACACACACACACACACACACAAGCACACACCTACATTAACACACTCACACTCAAAAAACGTGAACGGATGTGGCTGAAAAGATGTCGACTTGAGTCAAGGTTGCAGAACTTGCATGCAAAATGACTGCTGTTGAGATTCTTTTTGCCTGGCCACGATAGAGCAGCTCTAGAACACATATCCACAAGTATACACTCACACACACACACTCACACACACACTCACACACACACACAAACACACACATACACACATACACATGCCTGTTGTGACAAAGTGTTCAAGTGTTGCCTTACATCAGGTTGTCATGAACAGTTGCTAAGCGTCTTAGCTTCTGGGACAATCTAAAAACAGCTCTAAATGGTAGTTGTTGTTGTTGTGTTCTAGTTAGTTTGCACGTGTGTGTGTCTAACTAAGAACCATTGAGGACTTTATGCTAGATTTTGGGCTTATAGTGGACGGCACATGACATTTTAGCAAAACAAAGCGTTCAGTAAAATAATAACCAGTCAATAAAAATTGGTTAAAATATTAAAGTAAAATTCTATATTGCACATTGCGTGTGCAGCAGTGCAAAAAATAAATATTATTCTGTGTGTTGAAAGCAACATATTTAAGCAACATATGTCATACAGTTATTGGAGAAGGTTTGCATGTGTACACTGCATCGGTTCGCGTTGTGTAAATTTACACAAAAATCCACAAAGCGGCGCACAAATTCATTTTACTGCGTTGATAGTGATAAAATTTATAACCAGCAATGGGCAATGCGCCTAAAAGCAGCCAACTAAAACAATAAGAGCACAAATGTGCCATACAATGCCCAAGTGGGCAGCACACACC